AAGTTAACATGGTATCAGAGCCATGCAAAAGTCCGAGCTTCAAGTCTCACCGCCACCCATTTATTAGAATTTGACGCCTTTAGACTTTGATGGAAAACATTAACATGGCCGATACATGAAAGGGCGTATTGAAAAAAAATTTATATGAATACATGTGGCCCATCTCAACTTAAGATTTTAGATGTTATGGTAGTAACACCACATCTTCTACCTTGTAAATATCAATAGAAACTAGTTCCTAATTTAAGTTTTTTGGTCCTGCAAGCATACTGGTGGTTTCTTGCCTTTTTAGTATTACCTCATTCTCATTTTCCATAAAATATTTCTCCATGAATTCCAATATAATCACCAAATATCAGACGCTAGATTAGCAATTTTTATTTTTTATTTTTTATTTTTTCGAATGGTTGACCAACTTAGTTGAAGACAACAAATATCCAATGTGGATATTCTCTTTTAGTTTTGGACATACACATTTGTGTTCAGAGTTGGATTAAAATGGAAAACTTCCTCAACAAAAGACCTATATGACCTAGAAGCTACAATAAAATACTAAATTAGTATGGCAGCCATAATGGTACACTATTACTCATGTTAAATAATAGTTTTAAGGCAGAGTAGAGAAAAGAGAATGGAATTGAACTATTGATGGTACTTACCTATTACCCAGGTGATTATAAAGTCAAAGCAATTTTGGCTGTCTCTCCAATAGTTCTCAAATCCATAAGCATAGATCTTCAATGCCATCTCCACTACGTACAGCCATCCTGGGAAGAAAATGCAATTTGTTGACTCTCAATATAAACTAGAATTATAGTAGTTCAAGGTTATAAGTTTTTTCACATAGGATATTAGTTTACCAGAAATGAAGTTTTCGACCAATAGACTAGGGATGGAGCTAATCCAGGTATCTAAATCAAATTCCAATTTATATTGGAACACTCTGACAAGAAATTAACATTGTTCTATTTTCAAATCTCTTTCACAGAAATTCTATGTGAGGACAATTATACAGCTCTATGGGAAAAATAATAAGAGACGTGATCATTCGTTGATCATTTATATGCCTAAAGAGAATTCTCCAAGCACAAAAACAGATTTTATTCTTATTTCTCAAATTTACTTTAATCATCTGTCCTCTCGAAGTCAAAGCATTGACATGTTCCAAGAGTCTCTAAGAATTAATCTCAATGAAAGGTATTGAGACCTGACGAATGTCTTTGTAGTGATGCCTGTGATGTTTATGCATATGAAGAATATAATGGGAAAAGATCCAATAGGTCCAGTTTCCATTGTGATCAGATGCACCATTTACATAAGTCTAGTTATCAATAGTAGAGAAATTGTTGTCTTTCATTATCTCTACAAATGAAGTATATACAAGTGAAGTAATAAGGAATGAAGGAATATTCCAAAATCTATATCACCATGCATAATTTTATGGGACTGTAATTGTTTTTTCTTCCATATGGTCAAACCCATAAAGGTTTTAAGTTGGCTATTTTTATTCTTATTCTTCTTTTATTTCTGTGGATTATCGGCTTCCAAGTTCATTAATGTTGGAAGACTATCACAATGATTTTCATTGCAATCAGTTACTTATCCATGATTCTGAGGAAGCCCAATCCACCATATTAAGTACTCTCTTCTAATTAAAATTTATCGAATATCTTCATCTATAGAAGAAGCCTTCTCGAAAAGCAAAGTAAGTGTGAAACAGTGATGCAAACACTTCCGCCAGCTGCGATCACTACACGGATAATATGAGGTTCAATCTTACTCTAGTATCCTACGGTGAATCTAATGCCTCATAAGATCCAAGATTCATAGAGTTCTTACCAAACACAAACTCCACCTTTTGCCAAGCCTCTTGAGCAGAATTGTTCTCTATGTCAAGCTGAAAAACACAATTAGCACGATATATCATTAGATAACTCAGTGGAAATGTATGTGACTAAATGATGTTGAACTAGCTCATCTAAAAGCTTTAAGCTAATAGAGAGAGGACAAGCTTATAGATTTAAATTTTGCCTTCATGCTCCTCACGAGCAGGGCAGATAGATTTTTTTATCGGAGGCCGGACATACGCAAATTTTACATAAACAGACAGATGAGACGTGAATTCAGGATCTTTGACTGCTCTAGTGCCATTTTGAACCACATCACCTAAAACCTTCAAAGAGAGGGAACAATTTTATTTATTTAATTAAAAATTCATCTTCAACAAATGGTTTCTTTACTAGCTCTTGGCATTCAATGTATATCATCTTTCCTTTTCATTTATTCTTGGACTGCGTGTCTGTTTGTTTGGCTGTCGAGGAGGAGGGAGCGTGGTGGCTAAAAAACAGTAGAGGGGAGATAGCAACATTTTGTGAATAATTAATGCCAGTGATAGATATGTCCTATTCTCAAGTTATAATCATGTTAATATAATATGAATATGATCTAAAACTACAAACATTAAAAGTTATATTAGATTTTGCATTTTTGGATATATAATATATCCTCAGTGAGATTATGTAGTAGAAATTGTTGACTCTAAATCATATAAAAATAGGTTTCGTTTGATATTGACGACACTTGACAATCATACCGTTGTTTCAATAATGACTGCGAAAAAATTCAGGGCAAGGATGAATATTATTATGTATCCAAATTTTGGACTTCGAACAAAGTCTTTCAGCCTTTCAGATGCGGGTGAACGGTAAAATGGAAGGCTATCAAATACGGGTACCTGCAAAATAAGTATGCAGAATTGGAATGCAGATCAAAAGCCTTCATTTTTATAAAGTACGATACAAAGTTGCAAGGATGTCACTTAAGCTTCAGTTCAATGGAAAGTGGACTTACTGAATCCTCTTTTTGAAACCTTAGCGCAATGGCATTGCAAAGGTCAGCAAATTCATCCAAATTAATCTGTCAGAACCAAAAAAATGCAGCAAATAGTTAAGACACCATTAGTAAGGACCATATTTTGTAATTATGTTTAAATATAGAAACCATAAATATTTACAATCTCAAGGTATTGAGACACATATACAAGCTAAAATTAGATAAGACAAGAAAAGTCACAAAAGTTGAATATAATAATTTACCAGTTCAAAACCAAACTACTTCGAGTTAGAAAATATTTCCTAGGCAGAGGATAAACTCTCAGCAACTTAATCAATAAGAGCTACCTACCATAAAATGATTGTCATTTATAGATAAGGTACAAAGCTCAAATATGTGATTATACAGTTCACATCATTCTTCGAAGTTTTAATCTTAGTACGTTACAAGCTCATAGTTTCACTAGATCCAAATAATGAAAATTCAGAC